ACGCATGGACGATGTAATTTATGGATAATCGAGGAGGATCGTCATCTGCACTGAGGTGGAAGTGAACACTGCAAGATGATTGGGCCTCGCCAGGGTGCAAGTCCAAGTATCCAGTGAGCGATTAGATAATTGGATAGCAAAGTTGATACTTGAAACATAGCCACATGTTACTTCGAAATGCAACAATCCTGTGCAGTCCCAAGAGTACACTATCCCAACCGACACGTGGTCCCAGCCCCTTCCGTCCCGTTACTTGCAACGCAGCCAACAACACCACTTGCAACTACCTGTAGTTATATCAACAATCCTGTGCAAGGCGTCGCGGTGTAGCCTGTAGACACATTTTGATTTTCGCTTGCGATGCGCTGGACCATTGCACTGCTCGTCGCGTTTGCTGTCGAAGCGCTCGCTGTCGAGGCCATCGTGTCCGAGTACTTTGCCATGATATACACGGGCGCCAGCTATGCCGGGCAGTCGTACACGACCGTGACCAACAGCTTTTACAGCTTGGGGAACACGCTCGTCGACCCGATCTCGTCGATCAAGGTGCAGCCCGGCTACGTCTTTGTCGGCTACACCAAGAACCTCGGCACGACAGGCGCCGGCTCGAGCGAGTACTTCTACATGGCATGGGACAGCGACACGCCCGACCTCGGCAGCCTCTGGGACGACCAGATCACCGCGTACGAAGTGCGCAAAGCTTTGTCGTGGACCAAACCGTCCACGTACTTTTTTGCTGCCGCCAAGTTCTACTCGGGCTCCTCCTACACCGGCAATTCGACCATCACAACGCTCTTGACCAAGTACACACTGCCATTCAGCGTCGCGTCCGTCAAGGTCACACCCGGGTACTCGCTCACCCTCATCGCGCCGAGCGGTTCGACGAAGACCATCACGTCCGACACCTCGAACCTTGGCGCGTGGGCCAGCGTTGCCAAGGTCGCAACGCTCGTCAAGGATACATCGACGCTACCTCCGACGCCAACCGAGCCCACGACCACGTCGCCCGCCCCAACATTCGCCGCATCAACGCCCACAGTTGCTGCATCAACGCCCACATTTGCCGCATCAACGCCCACAGTTGCCGCATCAACGCCCACAGTTGCCGCATCAACAACACCCAACGCAATTCTCTCTCCCGAGAGTGCCACGCCCGGTCCTGCGCCTGTTGTGGCCTCGGCTGCGAGCGCTACCGATTGTACGGGGGTCTTACGTGCACCTCGCTGTATGTCTCATCTGCCTAGCTAGACACGACCATCATCATCGGCTGCAGTGCGGGCATCGTCGTTACGATGATCGTTGCCGTCGTCTTCATCATGCGGTCCAAGAAGAAGAAGGCGACGAACACCAGCACCCTCTTTGAGCCGTTCATCTCGACCAACCCCAAGCTCCAGCACGACGCAAGCCTCATCAACCTCAGCAGTCTCTACAAGGTGCGTCTCGACCAAGCGAACCTGCACCTCGAGTGCATCCTTGGCTACGGCTCGTTCGCGGCTGTCTCCAAGGGCTCGTACAACGCCATTCCGGTGGCCGTCAAACAGCTCCAGAGCAACCGCCGGTCCAACACGGACATCCAAAGCTTCATCGATGAGATCGAGCTTATGTCGCGGTACGGTCTCACCCTGTCTGACGCCCCTCACTCGACACTTGGCTGTTGGCAGGTTCAACTCCAAGCACATCATCAAGCTCATTGGCGCAGCGTGGACGACGCCAACGGACTTGTGTGCGGTCATGGAGTTTATGGACCAAGGCGACCTCAAGGACTACTTGGCGGCTCATGACGCCAGCGTGTACACGTGGGCGATGAAGCTCGAGGCGCTGCGGGGGATCGTCGACGGTCTCTCGTACCTCCACTCGCTCAACATTGTGCATCGCGATCTCAAGTCCCGCAACGTGCTTCTCGACTCGACCAAGGGCATCAAGATCGTCGACTTTGGCGTCGCCAAGGAAGACATTCAGGGCACCATGACGATGGGTGTCGGGACCTTTCGGTGGATGGCCCCCGAGGTCCTTCTTGAGAGCGCGTACACGGTGGCCGCCGACATTTACTCGTTTGGTACTACCGTCGGTTGGTCTATGGACATGTTCTGATGCAATGGCTTAGGGATGCTCCTCTCCGAGTTTGACTCGCACCACATCCCGTACGAAGATTTGACCAACCCGACGACGGGCAAGCCGCTCGCCGACCCCGCGATCATCGGCGGCGTCCTCAACGGCTCGATCAAGCCGACGTTCAGCGACACGTGCCCGACGTGGGTCAAGGCGCTGGCCGACGGTTGTCTTTCGTTCAACGCCTTCGACCGCCCGACCATCTACGATGTGGCAGCCATGCTGGCCAAAGTTCGCACCGACTAAGCAAAGCCAGCGTCGTGCAGTCGCCATACATTTCGATAGATATAACGTTTCTTATTTGTAATCAACACATCAGTACTGACTGGTTAGAGGGCAAGTGACGAGCCGACTGGCTCTGTTGGCTGGGCTATCGTGCTAGATATGACGGCTCTTGCTACTGATCTACGATTCTACGCTGAAGAGACGCTGGCTAACACCATCTACGTATCAAGACTAGGCTTCAACAGGGCATAAGTCACCGTTCGTCTCGGTCAGTCGAAGATCGGCGTCGAGCACACATGGTAGCGTCGTCATCGGGTGACTGAGCCACGGTACAGGACACAAGACACCGCATACAATACCATTGCATTTGCCGACTAGAGAAACGACTACCGACCGCGCCATAGTCGTTTTTGCTGAGCTACGACTCGGCCAAGAAGGCAAACGGGTCATTGCCAGCGTCGATCGCTGGCGTGTACTCGATAACGTTCAAGATTTGCTGGAGCCGGTCGGGTCCAAAGAGCGACGTGAGGAACGCGCAGACCATGTCCATGCCGGCCGTGACACCCGAGCTCGTCCAGATGTTGCCGTCGACGACCCAGCGCGCGTGCTTGATCCACTGCACGCGGCCGTCTCCGAGCATTTGAATTTCGCGAAAGGCCACCTTGTTGGTCGTGGCGCGCTTCCCGTCCAAGAGGCCACACGCCGCGAGGAAGCCAGAGCCCGTGCAAACGCTCAGAACGTACTGGACGCGGGAGCTGTGGTACTTGATGAAATCCTGGTAGGCAGCATCGTGGAAGAGGCTTCGGCAGCCCTTGCCACCTACTCCGACAGTCCAAGCCTGCAAAACGACAGTCGCGTGATCGTACCTGGTACGAGAAGGACGTCCAGCGCTGGCGCCGACGCAAACGCGTAGCTGGCGACGATCGGACAACCGCCGGCGGGCGGGCGCGAGTACAAGGTGCCGGCCTCGCGCGCGATGAGTACCGTCTCGATGCCGTCTTCGAGCTGCTCGAAAAACTGCAGTGGGCCTAGCATGATGGAGGTATTGTCATGTAGAGAACATACAATATAGTACATGTACCTGCAATGTCCAAGGTCGCAAAGCCCGGAAAGACGAGGATGCCAACGACGAGCTTGCGGTTTGTCGTCATGGGCTCGAATTCCAAAATGGCGATCTGCAATCGATCAACTTGATGTGTGTATGGCATACTACGATGCCGTATTGCGTATCTTTTGCTCGAATGTGTTATTTAACATTAAAAAACGATGCTTTTGAATTTGAACACGACGACGATGTTCCCATCGACCACACAACCAGATTACAAGGAAACATCTTTATATTCTCAAATGATGCTATTGAATTTCAACAAACAATTGTCGTGTGGTCGCCTAGTCTGTAAACTTTTTCGCTTTTTTGCCACTGGTCCAGTCGACGCCGACTAACTGGACTTGGCTCTGGACCCACGTCGGTGGTTCGACGACGTTGGACCGGACGCTGGCGAGAATCGGACCCACGGGAAACGACCGCAGCGCGATGGGCCATCGCTTATCGTGTGCGCCCACCACGTAATCACTCGGAATGTTGACGTGCCCTTCGTGGGCCTTGAACTGCGTGAGCGCCACCGCCCACATGGCCCAGTTGACAGCTTCGGTGGCATCCGAGTCGTCATCCGTGTCGTCGATCGTGATCACGTGTGGTGACATGTCCTTCTCGCCCGAGGTCATCACGATTGTGGCGGGTCGGATGTCGTGCACTGGAGCGGATGGCGCCGGTGTAGTAAAATCGTTGCTGCTAAGAAAATCCCACTCAAACTTGAGCATCTCAAGCTGCCGGCGCTTGTCATACGGCATGGCCGCTCGCGGGACTTGTCGGAGCCACGACACAATGGCGCCGAGTGGCAGGCCGCCACCCGCCGCCGGCCAGAAAGGGTCCTCAACCTCGGTCGCCACTACATGATCCAGCGGTACGCGCAAGTGGCCGTGGCGGGTGTAGTAGGCTGTGAGTTGTCGAACCTTGGCCGACCACCGACGCTCGATATCGAGCGAGAAACGCCGCAGGGTGTCGCGCCGCGCCTTGGTTGCAAAGTCTTCATGGACCTCCAACAACGTCAAGAGGTACCCGAACGTCTGTCCGACGACCGACGACGGCCACTCGGACGTCAGCACAAACGCGTCATGCCAGCCAATCGCGCGGTGCGTCGCCTGCCACTGCTGGAGTGTTTGTACGATATCCGGCCATGACGCGGCGACGTCAGTGTCCCAGACGAAACTAATGTCGTTCAGCATCGCACGTTGCAATGCCGAGAGTGATGCACCGTCTTTTCGAAGGGTAGCGACAATGTCGCCGAGGCGGAGACCCCAGAGCTTGGGCGGCCACCACTGTAGTTTATGGGGCACAGCAAAGCCAATGTCGACGAGTGCATCCTTGGTGTACAATCGCTTGTAGATCCTGAGGCCGAGTACGTGCTGGTCAAACTCGGTTTCTAGATGCCTGGCACTCGCAAATGGGTCGACGACCTTGGTGGTGACACGTTGGACGTCACCAAGCGCCGTCGCTTGCAGGCCGAGATAGTGTCCGAGCCGCATACCGCGCATTGCTGATGGCCACGTCGCGTCGTCCTTGGGCACAGCGTAGGCGTGGGGTACGCGGTCGTGTCCGTGGATACTCGCAAACATCGTCTTAGCAGCCACCACGTTTGCCCATGATCTTGGCGTGTTGAAAGCGTATCGAACGCGCTGGAGCTCGTCCCCTCGGTGCGATGGCAGCTGGATAGAGACAAGCCAGACGCGCATGGCGACTTCGCCAAGCGGGATACCGTCGTACTTGGGCGAATACGACGGCGCTGCGGCGTCGGCCTTGCGCTTCCGACTCGCGCGAATGACATAGTCGATCGGCACATCGGCCGCACCGTGTTGCTCGTAGTACATTGTGAGCATGGTGAGGATGTCGGCCCAGAGCGGGACGTCGTGTACGGCGCCAAGGGACAGGGCCATGCGGAGCTGCGGCGTCGGCAGCGTGTACGCATGCACGTCGAGCGTGTGGGCTGCCTGCGCCAAGTCGATGCCCCACGCCTCCTTTGGCCACGATCGATCGTGCTCGGGCACGGGCCAGTTAGCAGGCACACACACGTGGCCGTACAGGTCGCGGTATCGGGCGAGAGCGGATAAGACGGCCGACCAAGTGACCATGATCCTGTTGCGCGAGCGGGCGATGAAGCACCGGGCGCTCGGGCGGTCGTCTGGGTTACACCACACTAAGCCGAGTTCCTCGAGGCGCGCTTCTACGAACGGTTTGAGCTCACGACTGGCGGCGCGAAGGATCCTGATGGCGGCGCCAAGCGGCTTGCCGCGCAGCGTCGTAGGCCATGGGTCGGTGTCGGGCACAATGTAGTCAAACGGTAGGTAGCTGTGGCCGTACAGGCGGCGGTAGATACCGATGCCGAGGAGCCGCTCGCCTACTTTGGGCAGCGTCGCCGGGTCCACCCACGGGATCGGCGGGCCCGTCGGAGTTGGTGCCATCCACACCATTTTTTCGAAATGCGTTTCGCAAGTGTCCTTGGCGAACGCTCTCGTTCCTTCGATTTTCGAACACTTGTCGTCTTGCTAATTGCCATACACCTGTAGACAGGACGATGTACTAAGTCCTAGCGTGAATGTCGAAGAAAGAATAGGACGCCGACGACGAGTTTGCATCAATACTCTATACAACAAACGAGCGAGCAGTCGGCGATCCATTTACTTGATGTGTGTATGGCATACAAATATCGAGTGTCGCGTATCTTTGGATTCGAATGGGCTTGTTAACGTTATTTAACACAGCCGAACGAGGGGGTTGACTGCATACCGATTTGTCCATCATTGTCGACAGCGTGGCACACAAATGATATACTAGTATTTAGACGACTTGTATATCATGCGACAATCGAAGAATGATCCTGCTTTGAGCTACGACACCGTACACTGAAAAAAGCAAGTAAAATCATTTAAATGACGAATCAATCAATCGATCCTGCACAGTGGGCATAAATCGCGTGCAGGCCAAGGGTCGTCACCAACGCAGGGATGCTGCCTTCATGGGAGCCTCCATGAACATACGCATTCCCGTGATCCCGAAATCGTTCTCGGTGAGCGCGAGGAGGGCGGCGCTCGCATCGTCGAGACCGGCGACGCTGTCAAAGCTCGCGCATCGTAGCCCTTTCTGGATCAAGCGGCCCAGCGTTCGACGGACGTGGAGGAAGCTTGTGTCGACGTGACTGCAGCCTCAAATGCCTTGGACGCGGTCGAGGTACGAGAGCACACTGTTCAAGATCGACTGGTGAAACGCGATCTTGTGGAAACCAGCGGTCCCATGTGTCGAGTACTCCTCATGATGTCACCCTCAACCAACGGAAGATGCTGCAGGGCGTGCATGACAAAGAGAAAGTCCGATAAGTCACGGTTGCTAGACAGCTTGGGTGACGTGAGCTTGGTAACAACTAGAAGACCCATCAGCCCAGAATAGGCCTCGGTCGACGACGTCCCGACATCGACCTCGGTATGTGGATCCAGCGGCAGCTTCAACGCACCCAAAACGTGCAGCAGGTCGTCACAGTTGTGTACTGTAAGGCCTGGAAGCGACTTGGTGGCCGCCAGCGCTCGCGCGAGCCCCGTGATGTTGACGTCTCTGACGTTGACAAACGAGACGTGCCGAGCGTGGCTGCAACGTGAGCGATTCTCGAATTTTTTGTCTGGTAGGACCTCCATGGGTTCATTTTTAATAGCTCCGATTTATGTCCATTTCAGTTGACGTGGGTATACTTCTTTCTACTTTTAAGCTATATTATCCTCAATACTTCACTATCAGATGGTTCTTTTTTATTCGACAACCTTGATAGGACTATATAACACTTGGATGCCGTCATCATCAAGCAAGTCGACGCGCATGCGCCGCGCCGCTGCGAGCGCGTGGAGCTCCTTGGCACACGGCGCCAGCACACTCTCGTCGAGGTTCAACTGGATGCGGACACATTCGCACGTGGCGAGTGCATCGAGCAGCATTCGCACGCCGTGTACGTCCAGCGAATTGCCGTGGAGGTGGACTGTCAGCGGCGCGACGTTCCGGCCTTCGCGCAGTCCGATCGCGAGCAGCGCCGCGCTTCGATTGTCGAGCTGGTTGTCCACGAGGCTCAGATACGTGAGCCCTTGTTGCATCCATTGGGGCAGAGCGCGCGAGAGAAGGTCGATCTTGGCGGCCACCAATGCGCAGCCGTTTAGCACCACCTCGGTGAGGTGCGTCGCACGCACCAGGTACGCCAGCAGCGCGTCAAACGTGTTTGCCTCGAATTTAACGCCTTCAAACGACGCAGTCCGGAGCTGCGGCCACGTTGACGTGTCGAGCGGCATGGCGCCCAGCGTGCAGTAGTGCAATGAGAGCTCGTGCAAAGACGGCAGTTGCGGCAACAGCGCCAGAATGTACGAGAAATCTGCTGCGCCCAAAAATTCGAGCACTTTCATCGCACTGTGGTCCACGAGCTGCAAGAGTCGCGGGATCAAGTCGGTCTCGTCTGTGACTACGCGCAGCTCGATGATCTGGGACAGAGCGCGCCGCGTCGCCAGGAGCGCGTGGAGAATGGCGTCACTGTGATGCACGAAGAGCGCCCGCAGCGACGGTGTTGTCGCAATGGCAAGTGCGAGGTCGTCGACGTCGGCAATCAAAGGCGTGTGCACTTTGACGCGCGAGGCAAAACCACTCGAGAGCCATTTCGTCAAGAGAGGCGTCCACCGCGGCGTCGTTTTGACGAGCTCCATCTCGAGACGGATGCTGCGCACGCGATGGTTGGGCGTTGTCACCGCGGTTAGCACATTGCTACCAGATGCAGCGAGTCGAATCGACTCCAGGTGCGTGCAGCGACTGAGCAAGACGCAAAACGCATCCGAGTACGTGAGCGTGGCATCGAGATGGAGCTGCGTGAGCTTGGTTGCAAAGCGCTGTGCAAAATGATCCAAGCATTTAATGGCGTGGGTCGCGGCGGGGCGATTGAACAAGCGCGCAAACACCTTCACGCCCTGGGCGCGCACGGACACGAGTGCTGGCAGCGCGATGCGCACGAGTGTCCTATCGCTCTCAGTCACGACATCGAGGTCCGGCGTCGGCCACTCAAAGGAAAAGGGCCCCGGTCGCGTCAGCAGCTCCCGCAGCGCTGTCAACGGCGCATCGAGCGACGTCGCTGGCAGCGCAGATAGAAAGGCCGCCACATCGATGGGCGATGCGAGGCACTGGGCGACCGAGAGAAGGGCGCTGCGGACCTCGAGGACGCTGGAAGCCGCGGGACATGTGCGCTTGACTACCGTCATTGTGGTGCGCTTGGTGGGTCAAGCGATTTTGGGTGGTCACCGCTGAAACGTCCCAAGTCTGAACCGGAAACAGATGTCTTAAGCGAGATGCTTGTAGGCTGGCTGCTTGTGCTGGCAGACGCATGTACTGCTACATAGTAATAGCAACGCAACAGGGTCATGATACCAATGACAGAGCGCATTGCAAGCCATTTTTTTAGCTCTTGTAGGCCTGAGCCAGCTGGGCCTGAGCTGAGGTCCATGTAGCGCAAGGTTGCGTGTGATTAGTTATGGAAGTTGGATATTGGAGGCATCACGCAACTGTGTGCTGCATTTGATTGGCTGGTTCATATTGCACTTTCTGCGCCTTGTTGCAGTTCTCCGATTGCAGCAAGCGGTCAATATTGGTGATTTTTTTGGACAGTATGCCAACTATTCGATGGATATTTGTAGTTATTACCTCGCAATAGTGTCAAAAGTCCTGTCTAACACGAAGAGAGCGAATCTGGGCTGCGTCACCCGAGAAACGTGCGCTAACGACCAACCTGTTTCACGAGTTGATCATATTATAGTTTCAACTTGATAGGTCAATGCAACGTGGTCGTGTTTCGAGGCGGCAACTGCTAGCAAATCTCGGAAGCCTTCATGCGCTTGGACGACAGAGCGTCTTCCTCGTCCCCATCGGCGTCGGATGCTGCTTCTTGTGCTCGTCGAGGCAGTCGCGGAGCCGCGCTATCGTGCGAAGCCGGTCGGCGAATGGCCACGTGGGAGAGAACGGGCAGGACGTTGGTACTACCCCGCGCAAAGTGGTCGTGCAAGGTGCGGTCGAGGCCGGGCGGCAGCACAGGCGTCCACATCGTCGTTGATGGGTCGCGTCCGTCGTCCAGCTGCAGAGACGTCGACGGGAGGATGCCAGACGGGTGGTTGGCAAGAAGAAGGTCGAGGACCCGAGCGTCCTGCGACCACTTGCGGCGACCAGGCAAGTCGACGAGGATGAGGCCTTGCTCCATGGCGTCGTCTAGCCGGCGCATGTACGCATACTTGTACGTGGCGCAAGCGTCGCGCGAGATACTCCGGAGCGCTTCTTCGTACAGCGCCATGGCCGGGTCGAGCCGTGCGCAGACAAGGTCACCCATGCTGCCACGTTCGGTCGAAAGCGGAAATGAGCTGGGATTGGCCAAAATTCAGTGATAGCGGAATGCTGGTCGTTTTCCGCTGGCCCCAACGCGGGAACCGACAGAGTCGACTCTGGACTGCTATATGTCGGACGTCGAGTATGCAAAGACTCTACTAGCAGTGAATCAAGTAGAACTATGTGTGGAGTATCATGGCGACTTGTGGTATCGGTGTAGCGCCTGTGGGTGCTGGGATGTGGGTTTATCCGAATACGCTACGCACTCCAGGTTCGCGATCTTTCCGGATACAACGACCTTGGATTGGCCGGATGCCGGGCACCTCAGGTGCAGCTGGTCGGATAGCGCAAAAGCGAAAGAACGAGACCGATGGCGGTGTACACATATTGTCTTCAACTCAATGCTAGACTTTAATCGCAAGTGGACTATAGAATTCGAAGACGTCTTGGCCGCAGATCGCCTTGATACCGAAACGGGTGGCGACCGCGACGAGCTCGTCCGTATGTCCTCCGAGGTTCTCTGTCGCATTGAGCTCAATGCGCACACACACGCACGATGCGAGAGCGGAGAGGAGGTCGGTGACGCCCTCCAGCGTAAGATCGTTCTCGTTCAGAGAGAGCGTGAAAGGTGCTGTGTTCGAGGCTTGGCGGAGGGCCGTCGCCAGCACGGCCGCGCAAGTGTCGTCGAAACGATCGTCTGCGAGACGCAAGGCGCGAAGACCACGGTTGATCCAGTGCACGAGCGCCGACCCCAAGACGTTCATCTTGGTCGAAAGCACGCTGCACTCTAGAAAGTGCACGCGCTCCAGAACGTTCGAGGACGTCAGATTCGCCACGACGTTGTCAAAGACCTCGGGGCTGAAGTTTACAGCATCGAACTGAGCGAGACGGAGACGCGGCCAGTGTCCGACGTCAGGGCTGCCAACCGTGAGCGAGCACCACCGCAAATCGAGTTCTTCCAGCACAGACGAGCGACACAGTTGGTGGAAGACAGGATTCAGCGGCATGTTGCACGAGAGCGCAATGGACGATAGCGACCGGAGGCTAACGAGATGGAGAATGCGCACTAGGTGGATGGGTGCTTTGGTCTCCACACTAAAGTGCGTGAGGTGGTGCAGGGACTCGCCAATACGGAGTAGCTGTACGACAAAGTCATCGGACATTCGGATCTCGAGACTGCGCAGTGTCGACGTGCGACTGACGGCGCGTGCGAGGGCATCGGTAGGCACTGGAACATGGCACAGACCCAAGTGCTGGGCGTGGCCACTTGCAAGCCACGATGTGACAAGCGGGGCCCAGTCAAAAGCATGACCGCGCGCCGTCTGCACGGTGAGTCTGGACACGTGATGGGCGGCCGTCGTCACCGCTTGAAACACATGGGGCGTCATTGGCGACGAGTCCAACGAAACCTCGCACAGGCGCGTGCAGCGGCGAAGTGCTTGACAGAGCGCTTCGTTAATGAGGTTGGCGCTGCACGTGAGGTCGATGGCCGTCATCTTGTGTGCCCATAAAGACAAAAAGGCGCTAAACGTGCCGGGGTCGGTCGAGATACTGGCTGCCAAAAATTCGTCAAAGGCCTCGTAAGCGGGCAAGGCGGCCTGCGCAAGCGCCTCTTCGTCGTCGACGAGCCCGAGGAAGCATGGCCTCGGCCACGCGTGCAGGAACTGGCCAGGTCGCGAGAGCAGTGCATGCAAGGCGAGGAGCGGCTCGCCGAGCACCTGCGGTGGCAGCGCGTCGAGAAAGGCTACGACGTCGCATGACGACGCAATGCACTGGACGATCGCGATGAGGGTGCCATTGCAGTTGAGGGCGGCCGTCGTGGCACAAGAGGCGGCCATTTTCCTGGTAGGAACGCTTGCGTGGTGTTCCAGCATCCCTGGGGATTGATTCGTATTTTCTGGCAAACCCATTGGCTACATATCGAGCCATTTTGGCCAATGGAACGCAATTGGTCTAAGCCAATCGCATCGCGCGAAACGTGTTCCGTGAAGTGCGATTTTGTAGTCCCTGTTAAGAGCTGTCACATCCCCGGAAGTTATACTTGATTAAAGTATGTCAATTGCGCCGAAGTGCGCCTGCGTACTTATTCGCAACGTTTCGATTAGGTGCGATTTCAGAAGCGCGCGAAGACTGCAGCAAGCGACGCCAAGACAAATGTCAACCTTCGTCGCAACACCGCTATCAACGCTTCGCAATGAAATCAAACGTTCCCAGCTCACCCCGCAAGGGACCTATTCGATGTGCCAAAAAAACAACGGTCGTATGCAGCAGTGGCCATTAGCTGTGGCCATTGACAACACACGCAAGCTCGCTTCTTCACGTGCTGCTTTTTGTGCCACGTCCGGTCGAAAGCGGAAAAAGCTGGGATTGGCCAAAATTCCAGATATAGCGGAATGTTGATCGTCTCCCGCCGGTCGCCACGCGGGGCCTGACAGAGCCGACTCTGGACTGCTGTATGTCGGACGTCGGGTATGCAAAGACTCTACTAGCAGTGAATCAAGTAGAACTGTGTGTGGTGCACCATGGAGGCTTGTGCTATCGGTGAAATGCCTGTGGGGTGACGAGATATGTGATTATCCGGATACGCTGCACACCCAGGTTCGCGATCTTTCCGGATAAAATGACTTTGAATTGGCCAAATGCAAACGCACTTCAGTGCAGCTGTGCTCATGTAGGATCGTTTGTTGACCGAAAACCCTTGACTCTTAAATCGCCAGTGGGCTATATAACTCGACGTTGTCATTGTCGGGCACTGCCTTTAGACCAAAGCGGGCTGCGACCGCTAATACAATCCTCTTCATGGGTACCGAAAAGAGTTCGGTTGCGTGCCTGGGACGATCTGCCACAATCGTACATGGTGTCCTGATTTTAGCAAACACAGGCAGTACGTGATTGCGTCCCTTGCTTGGCCGGCAAGTTGAAGCAGACGCGAACAATTGACAACACAATTCACAACGCTGCTTTACGGATACGGGAACCTTATCCAGACATTGACGCAACTAACGACCAATTGCAGCGTTCAGTCCCGGCCAGAGCAGGTGCATCTCTATGTTTTAGCGCCGAATGGCCATGTATGGAGAAGGAGTCCTATGCGTGTTCTTTTTCAGCCCACAATCACCAGGTTTCCATAATTGTCACTGCTCCGCGAGGTTTCAAAGCTCTGCTGCCATTGGCTCTGCTCTTTTAACGTATCACTTGTCAGTTAAACCAATGAGAAGGCTGGGGGCGCCCCAGGTCAGTTGTAAAGTTTCTGCTTCGCATCCCGAAGGTCGCCGGTTCGAGCCCGGCTGCGCACTCGCATTTTTCCGTTCTCCGTCCCCCCTCCCCACTGCGTCGCGCGATGCATCCAACCAGGGCGGAAACCAAAAGGGTCTTCAAGGCCACCTCCGCACATGGATACATATTACTATTATTTACCCCTGCCTCCGCAAGTGTCGCCCAGAACACTGGGTGTGAAACCAGCTGCTCCAACAACAGACCTAAATGATGAGACAATTTCTTCAGTGAGCTCGGCTGATTTAACATAAACTGACCCACTTCAACAACAACCAATGAGAAGGCTGAAAAGCGACCAATCAGAAGCGCTAATTTTTCGTTAATCTTGCGTCGGCTTTCAATTTGACCGTCCTCAACCCACAATCCGATTCGACGATGACACGATCCATCAACGACACCAAGAGCCCGAACGACCCGAAGCACTACCGGCTCTTCACGCTGCCCAACGGCCTCGAGGTGCTGCTTATGCAGAACGTCCCCGGCGCTGGCGACGATGGCGACGAGGTTGAGGAGAGCGAGGCCGACAATGGCAGCGAGAAGGACGACGAAGTTGACGTGGATGATGTCGTCGAAAAAGTGCCCTTGGCCAAAGATGACGAAAAGGTAAACGACGGCCCCGCGCCCCGCAAGGCCGGCGCCTGCTTGACCGTTGGCGTCGGCAGCTTTGCCGAGCCCGAGCATCTTCCTGGCCTGGCGCATTACCTCGAGCACATGCTCTTTATGGGTTCGTCGACCTCGGTCTCTCTTGGACGCGACTCATGCATGTCTTGCAGGCAGCGAAAAGTACCCGGACGAGAACGAGTTTGAGGCCTTTCTGAGCGCTCATGGCGGCTCCAGCAACGGAGGGACCAGTACCGAGTATACAAAATACATTTTCGAGGTCGGGCCCAAGCACCTCGCGCCAGCGCTCGATATGTTTGCGCAGTTCTTTGTGGCGCCGCTCATATTGGCCGAGACCCTCGACCGCGAGCTCTTGGCGATCGAGTCGGAGTTTGCGCGTGCGAGCCGATCCGACAGCGTCCGCTACGAGGTTCGAACCCGTCGCGTCTTGACAGATGGGTTTGTATATGGAAGCCTGTAGCAAGTGCTGTGCGACCTCGCACTGCCGTCGCACCCGTTCCGTCAGTTCAGTTGGGGCAACACGAAGAGTCTCAAGACGGTGCCGGAAGCAAAGAACATCGACGTCCGCGCCGAGATCCTCGCGTTCTACAGGGCGCACTACTCGGCCAACCTCATGAAGCTCGTCGTCTGCGGCGAAGAGTCGTTGGACGAGCTCGAGGCCTACGTCCGTGGGTCGTTTAGCGACGTGCCCAACTGCGACCGCGTCGGTGCCGACTATGCGCACCTGTCCATGCCGTTCGAGTCGTCAGCGCTCGTCCAGATGGTGCCATTGAAGGAGGCGCATGTGTTGTACTTGCACTGGCCGCTGCCGCCGCTCGTGGGCCACCACGACCTCAAGCCCGCCGAATACGTGGCGTCGATCCTTGGCCACGAGACCGAGGGTTCGATCCTGCATTACGTACGCCTTTTCGCGATTTTACGAGATTTTATGTATTTGATGAATAGCTCAAGGAGAAAGGGTGGGTGTCGTACCTCACAGCGGGCCTCACCGAGACGCACGGCTACGACTACGGGTCGTTCGGTGCGATCTTCTCGCTCGTGATCGATCTCACGCTCGACGGCCTCGCCGCGTACGAAGACGTTGTCGGCGTCGTCTTCCAGTTCCTCCACATGATGCAGAACAGTTCGCTGCCGGCGTGGATCTTTGAGGAGCAAAAGGCCATGGCGCAAGTCAGCTTCCGCTTTAAAGAAGACGGGAATGCGTTCGAGCTGTGCGAAAAATACGCTGTGCTCATGCAGGTGGGCGCTCTACCTCTATCGCCGAGACCGAAATGGCTTGTAGGACGTGTATCGAATCCCATCGAGTGAGCTCTTGACGTACGAAGTACCCAAAGGCGACTTTGACGAAGCCCGCGTCCGGTCGCTCGTGCTCGACCACCTCACGACGGACCGCATTCGCATTCACCTCGCCTCCAGTACGCTGGTGCCCGACGACACGGTATTCCATCATCTTCTTGATGACCGAGTGGAGGTTGACCGTACGCTAGTGGACCGAAGAACCGTGGTTCCAAGTGCCGTACAAGGCCCAGCCGATCCCGGGCCATCTCTTGCAGCAGTGGGCCACGCCGTCGATGCACCCGTCGCTGCGATACCAGGTCGCCAACCCGTTCATTCCGCGCGACGTGTCGCTCATTGACGTGCCCGAGATCTTTGAGGCGCCGCGCAAGGTGCTAGCGACGCCGAGTGCGACTGCTTACTACCTCCCCGACACGGTCTTCAAGTCGCCCCGGGCGTTTGTGATGCTGCACTTTTCGCTGCCGGCGATGGCGCGTCGCGCGGACGCGATCGTGCTCGGCGACGTGTACGTGCGCATGGTCCAGGACGCGCTGAACGCGGACGCCTACTTTGCGCACAAAGCCCACCTCTCGTACTGGCTGCGCGTCAAGAGCGCGAGCGGCTTTGAGCTGCAAATCGGCGGCTTCCATGACAAGCTGCTCGAGCTCGTGTACGTCGTGACCAAGACGCTCGCGACGGGCACGAGTACGGACGGCGAGATGCTCCGTGAAGCGCGCTTCCGCGTTCTCAAGGAAGACCTTTTGCGTACGTACAAGAATTTGCACTTCCGACCCACGGCCAAGGCCGCGTACATGCGTGAGCAGCTGCTCGAGGCCGAGGCCGTGCAGCTCCCGACGCTCATTGCTGAACTCGAAGCACTCACGTACGAGTCGGTGCTTGCCGTTGCGGTCATGTCCAAGGCCCTCTGGGCGGGCGGCCACGTGACAGCGTTCGTCCACGGCAACATCACGCAAGCAAAAGCGATTGCGATGACGTCGACGGTCGCGGGCTACTTTTCCTTTGGCAACTCGGCGCCGCGCCCGCCGAAAGCCATCTACAAGCTACCATCCGACGGACTGGTGCTCCACGAAGAGAGCGAGAACAGCGAAGAAGTCAACTCGGTCGTCGACGTCCATTACCAGTTTGGCAACGAGACGGTGGCGACGCTGGGCATGGCCGACCTTCTCCAGCAAATCATGCAAGTGCCGTTCTTTGACACGCTGCGCACGAAACTGCAGCTCGGGTACGAAGTGGCGTGCTCGGTGCGCGTGACGCATGGCATCCTCGGCTTTGGACTCAAGGTCGTCTCGGCTTCGACGCCGACGAGTGCGATCGCGGCCGCCATGGACGCCTTCGTGGTCAGCTTTGCGCATACACTCGAGACGATGGACGAAGCCACGTTCAAGGGCCACGTGCGGGCGCAGATCCAGGCGCGCGTCGAACCGGACGCGTACCTCTTTTCAACGACGCTGCGCCATTGGCACGAGATCCCGTCGCAGCGCCTGGCATTTGACATTAACGCGCAGCTCGTCAACTGGCTCAAGTCCCCAGGCTGCTCGCGCGAAGCTGTGCGCCGCCAATACGCGCGCTGGTTCCACAAGCCCCAGCTCCGCGTGGTCGTCGTCGGTCGAAAGAGCTCTTCGACGCTCGAAGGCCGTGAAGAGCCGCCAACCGACGCGCTTCGTAGCATTGACGACGTGTACGCGCAGAAGGCTCGTCTCGTGTGCTTTCCCGAGCGCCACACAATCCCCGCGGCTTAGAGGGTGCCAAGTCTTGAGCATGCATAGGTATTTTCGACTTAAAACGAACAAAATACATACATATACGGACCAAGTACAGCCTTGACCATGCGTCGCCACTGGCGATACGTCCAACGAGACCCTGCGAAGGCGCACACAGCGTCCAAGTGCTGGGTACACCGCTTCGTTGATAGCGCTGTCAGTAAGGTCGATGGCGTCATCTTCTGGACCTATTCGGACAAAATGGCGTCGAAGGTATCGGGCCCCGTCAAGAAGCTGGGTGCAAACACGTCGTCAATGGCCTCGTCGGCGGCCTGCGCAAGCGACGTCGTCACCAATGAGCCCGAGGAAGCGAGGCTTGGGCCTCGCGTCAATAAACTAGTCAGGCCGCGCGAGGAGCGTACGCAGTGCGAGAAGCGATTCGCCAAGCACCTGCGATGGCAGCGCATTTAGAATGACGACGATGTGGGCGGGTGACGCAATGCACTGAACGATCGAAATGAGGATGCCATTGCAGTTGATTGTTGCCGTCGTAGCAACGGTCCTGATGCTCGTGCTGAAGACTGAAACGCGTTGGCCAACCATAAAGTAATTGCTCCCAGTCGTGTCCCTAACGCGATTTTAGAAATCATGAGGACCCTTTCGCTTCTGCACCGAGAGCCGGCAAGTCGCCGTTGGCTGTGTCCTCGATGTGTCACTGCTGCACGATTATCAGATCGCATAATCTGATATGAGATCTGATCTGATATGATATGAGATCTGGCGTGGCGAGCCAGACAAAGATCGCACATCTTTTGTGGCACTCGACCAGCCAGGGTTCCCGCCAAAGGTGTCGAGTCGAAACGTCGCAACACCACGCATCTAGGTCTACTAGTACCGAGGCGACACGTTGCGTCCCATGCTGCTAACTCCAATTGTACAATAAAGACGCACCCATTCGGGCTTCTAGTCATGCAAATGTGGTTTCGTGTTGCCCGATCATGCTAACCTACAACAAGCGCCAAATGCAAACCATCGTCGATTCATTCGATCGTAAACGGACTGTACAACTCGAGTTTGCCTCCTTGAGAATCGCCGTGATGTCATATGTGGCGGCCACCTTGGCAATCGTGTCCGCGCTGCGCTCCAAAATCTCGTCGTCCACGTTCATGAGCACAGCCACATTGGCACAATTCTTGAGGGCTGCGAGAAGTCCCAGACGCTGCTGATGGTAGAGTAGTTCTCGGTCAGCTCCAGCGTCAGCGGTGCCGAGTTGTCGGCGTTGTTAAGTGCGCTGGCGATGAGCGCGACGCTCGCTTCGTCGAGGAAGTTGTCGCGCAGCGTCAAGGGCCGAAGCCCCTTTTCGATCCAGATGGCGAGCTCGGCACTCATCGCTTCCATTTGGCTGCCCACGATGCGGCAGTTGATAAATGACACGTGCTCGAGGCGGTCCGAGGTCGAGAGGTGGGTCAAGACGCTTTGAAAAGCGTCGGGACCAAAGTTGACGTCGCCAAAACGAGCGATGCGAAGGCGCGGCCACGTCCCTTCTTCGACGGGCTCGTTTGTTATTGTCAGTGTGCACCGACGCAAGTCGAGCTCTTCCAGACGCGGCGCAGCATGCAAATACTGCACCAGCGGATCTAGAGGCATGGGGCATGAGAGCATGAGCGACTCCAGGCGAGGTATGTCGACGAGTTGGAGCAGCTTGGCAATGTGAGCTGGCACGTCGGTATGGAGACCGACGGACGTGAGGTGGCGCAGTGACACATCGAGTGCAAAGAGCTGCTGCACAAAGGCGTCCAAGCTGTACACCTCGAGGCCGCGCAGCGACACGATCGCGCGTGCGAGTTGGTCGTTTGGTGGAGTGATTCCAGACAGACTGAGGAAGTTCGCGTGCCCGGTAGCAAGCCACGACGTCACCAGAGGTGTCCAATCGAGTGGGTAGTCTCGAAACGTATGAATGTGCAACTTGCGGACGTGATGCGCGGGGGTCGTGACCGCTTGAAACAGCGACGTCGTCATGGGCGAGGCACCGAGCCAGACCTCGCGGAGACGCGTACACTGACGCAGCGCGTCGCAGATCGTCTCGTCCAAGCGCTCGGTGCTGATCGACAAATCCATCGACGTAATCTTGGGGGCCCACTTCGAAACGAAAGTGCCAAAGGGCGCCGTAGATGCACACGTCGCAAAGTTGGGGCCAAACCCATGAACATCGTGGACGTCAACGGCTTCGTAGACGTGCAAGGCGGTGCGAACCAGAGCCTCTTGGTTGTCGACGAGCCCGTCGAAGCTTGGTTTCGGCCACGCGTGCAGGAACTGGGCAGGTCGCGAGAGCAGTGCATGCAAGGCGAGGAGCGGCTAGCCGAGCACCTGCGGTGGCAGCACGTCGAGAAAGGCTACGACGTCGCATGACGACGCAATGCACTGGACGATAGCGATGAGGGTGCCATTGCAGTTGAGGGCGGCCGTCGTGGCACAAGAGGCGGCCATTTTTGATGTGCCAAAACGATAAACTGGCATGAAGCATGGTGATTGGTCGCACCAACCAAACTGTTGTGTGCGTTTAGCCTCGGATACAAAGAGTTTACGGCGAGCGTCGAGGTTCTGCTGTCGTGGTCGACGCTATGGTAGCAATACTAAAGCAACGTATGCCTGCGATAAGCGCCGTTCAGCAGAGCCTTGGTTGCGCCGTCCTGGGTCGTTGCATCATGTTGCCAGGTCAGCGCCCGACCAACTTCAAGCTGCCAGTGGCGTGTTTTTAGCATTACTGCATAATAATTCGATATTTTCACGCCATTTGTGGCGTGTTGTGATTGGTGCACACTTGCGATCGTATGCAGGAATCTCAATTGACAACGCACGATGGATGCAAGCTCGCTTCTTCACGTGCTGCTGTTTGTGGCCGCGCCGACGGACGCACTGGCCTTGCTCACGGCGCTGCCGTTGGTCTCACTACCACCGCCGTTCGCTGCGCTCTTGCACCTCTTCCAGCGGTCCAAGCACTTTGAGTGGCCCGTCCCGCGCGTCGAGTGCGCTGGCAACATGCACATGGGCCTTCTGCTGGCCGCGATGCCCATCCTTCCCGCCGTCCAGATCGAGCAGCCCGATTACTTCGATGCGTGCCTCCAAGCAGCGCGCGTGCCCGGACACCCGCAGAGCTTGACCGCCTTTCTGACGACATGGCCTGCGCACGTCGTCTCTCTCGCCGTCCCCGCCGCACTCTCAGCCTGCGACAGTGACGAGCTCTGTCGTCTCGTGCACGAATGCACTCGGCTGACGCATATGCAAGTGGACGTCGCCAGTACCTGCACGAGGGATCTGCTTTGCAGCAGCAACGGCGTTGCCCATCTTACCATAGCCGACAGCGGGGACGACAGTCTTGCACCTACAGCAATGCTCGACCTTGGAGATGCTCTCCGACCGTGGCTGCAGTCAACCCGCGCACGAACGCTGGCGTTAAACAACTTGACACTTGACGGCGTGGACGCTGGTGCGTCGCTCGCCACCGTTCTCGCCGCAACGTCATCGCTGACGCGCCTCGCGATCAACCAATCTGATACCGTCGCACAAGCGCTTTTGGCCTCTGGACTGCAATTTGAGAGTCTCTCGCAACTCAAAGTGTCGTTTGCAACTGTGCCGGGCCACTACCGACTCGTAGCGCAGCTTGACGCCACCAAGTTGACGCACCTCGATGTACGTGGCGACCAGCAAGAGGATCTCTCGCCGCTACTTGCCATGGTGCCTCGGCTACCAGCGCTGACCCACTTGACGCTGGGCTACTGCAAGCTCCACGAGGCGGTCGCGCACGACCTGGCTGGCGCTCCGTTGCTCTCCAGCGCGCGGTTCTTTTCGATTGTGTGGCGCACCGACGCAGTGCTTGAGAGCCTCCTCGCGCACCTCGGCCGGTCGCCGCGTCTCCAGAACGTCACGTGGCGCCGCTGTCCGCAGATCGCACGTGTGACTACGCCGTGGATGCTGCAGACGCTTGGTCAGGCGCAGTTTATTGACTGCAGTTTGAAGGATACTTTTGTTCTTGCGATCGCGGACGAGCTTCGCGCGCGAACGACGACCGTCCCGCTGCAGATCCGCATTGATCAACCAACAGATATGCTGGGGTTGGAGAGCGTCGCCGCCGTCATCCAAGTGCTTTCGACTGTTCGGAATGTGAGCGTGCAGCTCGTGGTCAGCGCGCATTTTGTGGGCAATCAAGGGTTCGAATCGTGGTTCTGGGATGCCGTGCGTCTGCGAGCGACGTTGGCGCGCGTTCTAGTGACCGTGAAGACGGTTCATGCCCGCCACCACTGCTACCTTTTATCATAACGTCCGAACACCTAACCCTGAAGCACAGCGTGTTGCACCGAGTCATGTCAGCGGCTCAGTGTTGATGTGCTGTGACGTGGGTTGCATGCAAAGGGGGTGGGTGGGAGTCAGTCGAGCCCACGTCAACACCACGAGGTCGCCTTGTCCCCAAGTATATCGAAGCATCTCACGTTCTACACCATTTGAAGTGG